ACCTGTAGTCCCAGCTACTTGGGAGGCTGAGGCAAGAGAATCGCTTAAGCCCAAGAGTTTGAGGTTGCTGTGAGCTGTGATGTCGCAGCACTCTACTGAGAGTGACATAGTGAGACTTTATCTCAGAAAAAAAAGAAATCTAGCACTGAAAGATACTGGAGGGGCTTAATAGAAGCATGGAGATGGCAGGAGGGAAAGTCAGTGAAATTTAAGTCAGATAGGTACAAATTATCCAATCTGGTGAACAGAGGAAAAAGTTTTAAAAAATGATCAGAAACTCATGGACCAGTGGGCCAGCATAAAGAACTCTAGTATATGCGTTCTTGGAATTTCAGAGGAGAATGAGACAGATAAAATATTTGAAGAAATAATGGCTGAAAATTTTCCAACTTTGGTGAAAGATATATTTTCAAATTCAAGAAGCTCAGTAAACCCAAAACAGAATGGAAAATAAAAAAGAAAAAGAAGCACACTGTGGCACATTATGGTAAAACTGCTGAAAGCCAAAGATAAAGAGAAAATCTTGAAAGCATCCAAGAAAAAAGGGAACACTTCAGACAGAGAACAACATTTCCAATGTCACGGTCTTTTTCTTTCTTTCTTTCTTTTTTTTTTTTGGCATTTTTTGGCTGGGGCTGGGTTTGAACATACCACCTCCGGCATATGGGGCCAGTGCCCTACTCCTTTGAGCCACAGGTGCCACCCATCACTGTTTTTTTCATCAAAAGCAATATAGGCCAGAAGATGGTGGAACATCTTTAAAATACCCAAAGAAAAGAAAGTCAACACAGAATTGCTTTTCCAGTTGAAAATATTCTTCCAGAATGAAGATGAAATAAAGCCATTTTCAGATAAAAGAAAACAGTGATTTTGTTATCAGCAGACCTGCACTATGAGAACTGCTAAAGAAAGTTCTTCGGGGGAGGGCAAATGAAACCAAGTGGAAGAGCTGTAGGCTGGAATAAAGAGAAATGCCAGATTTGTAGGTAAATATAAAATACATTTTTCTTCTTAATATCTTTAAAATAGGGTGATGCCTGTGGCTCAAAGGAGTAGGGCACCGGCCCCATATGCCGGAGGTGGCAGGTTCAAACCCAGCCCAGGCCAAAAACTGCAAAAAAAAAAAAAAGTCTTTAAAATACATATAACTGGTGGGGTACAATGGCTCACACCTGTAATCCTAGCACTTTGGGAGTGTTTGAAGCTAGGAATTTGAGACTAGCCTGGAAAACATAGCAAGACCCCATCTCTATAAAAACAAATAAAAAGTTAGCTGGGTGTGGTGAC